GGGGGGGGGATGATGGAGGAGGAGAGGAGAGGGTGCATTGCGGGTCTGTGTCTGACTGATTTATGAGCTGAGCCTCTCAGTGCGGGAGGATCACTCTCTACCTCTTCCCATATGTATTATTATAGAGCTTTACCCCCCATGTCTGTGCATAGGGGGATTCTATACATTGTACTGGTTACTGGATGACTGCAAGATGGGTATTCTGATGGAACTGGGTGCATGCCTGAGCTTCTTCATGTACAAATATAGTACAGTGTGTAGATTGAATCTATACATCCTCTACATCCATACACCAGTATCTTATATCTGTATACTGTATATAGATACATATTAGACTGTACACTATATATATATACATTGTACTGGACACTGGATGACTGCAAGATGGGTATTCTGATGGAACTGGGTGCATTCCTGAGCTTCTTCATGTACAAATATAGTACAGTGTGTAGATTGAATCTATACATCCTCTACATCCATACACCAGTATCTTATATCTGTATACTGTATATAGATACATATTAGACTGTACACTATATATATATACATTGTACTGGACACTGGATGACTGCAAGATGGGTGTTCTGATGGAACTGTGTGCATGCCTGGGGTTCTTCATGTAGAAATATAGTACAATGTGTAGATTGAATCTATGCATCCTCTACATCCATACACCAGTACTATATTATATCTGTATATATGGATACATAATGGCCTGTATACTATATATATATACATTGTACTGGACACTAGATGACTGCAAGATGGGCATTCTGATGGAAATTGGAGCATGCCTGGGGTACTTCATGTAGAAATATAGTACAATGTGTAGATTGAATATATACATCCTATACACCAGGACTATATTATACTTGTATATATGGATACATAATGGCCTGTATCCTATATATATATTGTCCCAGCCACTGTATTATTGCAAGATGGATATTTCATACCAGAACAGGACGTATGCTTGGGCTTCCTCATGTATAAATATAGTACAGTGTGAAGATTGAATCTACAACCTATACACCAGGACTATATTATACCTCTTTATATGGATACACACATGCCTATGGAAAGCTTCAGTCTATAGATTACTCTATTTATATATGAGGAAGCCCAAGCTTGCACCCAGTTCCAGTATGAAATATCCATCTTGCAGTAATACAGTGGCCAGTACAATGTATATATAATATACAGGCTTGTGGATCCATGTAGAGATATAATATAGTCCTGGTGTTTAGGGTGGACAAGATGCTTAGATCCAATCTACACACAACACTGTATTTCTATATGAAGAAGCCCAAGCATGCAGCCAGTTCTAGCATGTTATATCCATCTTGCAGTCATACAGTGTCCAGTACAATCTGTATACACGGGTACTGTATTATACCTGTATATATGGACCCATTCAGATCTGTATATTGTATGCAAAGAAGTATTCTCTCTCTCTCTCCCCCTCTCTCTCTCTCTCGCTCCCCCCCCTCTCTCTCTCTCTCTCTCTCTCCCCTCTCTCTCTCTATCAATCTATCTATTGATCTATCTGTCTATCTATCTTTGTATTAGCTGCTGGCACTGTAAATGAAAATACACCCATCCTATATAATGTAGACAAGGATGATGTACATATGTACATTAATGCTATCTATCTATCTATCTATCTATCTATCTTTAATCCTTGTAGCCACTGGCGCTATATACAAATATATCACTATATTGTGTTGTATATACTGTACATTGTTCCATCCCATGGAAGGTCTCTGTGATCTGTGCGTAGCACATGTACAGTATATCTGTAGGGTATCTATACTTCACCGGTACATTTTAAGCCGTCTATCCTACCACTTAAATCGAGCGAATCTTTCTTTACTAGACGGCGATGATGACCTGCGCAGAGAATTGTATGTGTGAGACCGTGGTCACATAGCTGGAGGGGCTGCTGTGTACGGTGCATATTGTATTGATCCGTAGCGCCTGTTGGATGAGATGATCCGTCCTCCTGATCCGGGCGATGGAGTGTGCGTGTCTTACAGTCGGCGTGCAGTGTGTGTGTAATGGGCAGCACTCACAGTGTGAATTAGGTGTGAACTTGTCCAATTGGCGTGTAAACCGCGCCGTTTATGGTGTGAATGATATTGATATTGACCCCTCCTAAACGTTATTGTGCTTTTGTCTGTCGGTGTGTATTACACAATGGTTGTGTTACAATAGGATTATGTAATGTGTGTCGCCGTCGCCTGATGATGGTGCGTGGCCTCGAAACGTCGCACCTGCGCCTATTGTGATGCGATGGCTTTAATAGTTACATAGTAGGTGAGGTTGAATAAAGACACAGGTCCATCTAGTTCAACGTGTGTGCGTGTGTGCACATATTAATAATGTCTGGATTGTACGATATCGATCCGTGGCGTTCTGGCGACTTATATTCGCCTTCCATGTTGGTTAACCGGTTGGTGGTTGCTGCAGCACCCTCGTACTCCAGGCATCCCCAATGGAAATATGATGAGTGACCAGCAAAGCCCCCTCCGCCGTGTGCATTATTGTGCGCTTTGCCAACAAACATGCCCATTTGCCCGTGGCCGTGTGTGTGTGTGTGCCCTGCGATCCTGAACGTGTGAGACTGAGTGTGTCAGAGTCTGTCGCGTCTCTCTCATTCATGCTGTGAGCATTAGAATCACTTCATTCACGGCAGTGTGTACTACACACTGCACAAACACACACAGCTGTGCCTCCATTCATGGCCCTGTGTGTGAGTGAGTGGGGTGAGCCCTCCGTCCAATCAGCGGAGGGTTAATGGCCCTTCGTGTACTGCAAAGCGTACATGCATGACACGGGTGTGTGGGGAAGCTCATTATTATTCACTGCACGTCTTCCATTAGCATGCTCTTTGCACAGCTGTGCCATACGTCCGTGTGTGTGTGTGTGTGTGTGTGTGTGTGTGCCGATGGTTTTATGAATCATTTTGCAGCCGGTCATGTGCACAGAAACGCGGACACGGCGTGCAATCTTTTTTGTTTTTCTCCTCGAGCAGAGATCTGCACCTGAGCTGGTTGTGTGATGTGTTGCAGTATGCATGGGCAGGGCTGGACTTTATCTGCAGGAGACGGGCTGCTGTCAGTATCGTCACACATGTGTGAACCCTGGTCGGTTGATCTCGGCGGGCTGGCATTGGGTTTTGGTTATAGGGGCTGTGTAGGATCTGGAGCAGGCTGTCTGAATTAATTGCAATGCGTTGTGTACTTTATACTAAAGCCCAAAATGTGCTGATTAAATAATGATGTCATATACATGGCGGTAGAGAGGATGTGTGTAGCGGTATGGGGCCCTGCGGTTTTGCAGCAAGTGGCCTGCTTTGGTCACATACGATGTACCATTCATAAAGCTCAATTCACAGAGCTCATTTAAAGGCGTGAGTTGCGCTAACATGCGTTAGGTCACATGTTAAAGTGCGCTGCATTGAGGCAGATCACGCACTGGGCTTCTAACGTACAAAAAAGGTCCAAGAAATTGGATGTGTTACAAAAATTTTTAACAGAACACAGTATGGTGGGTCACCATTTGTTGCAGCGTGCCGCAATGCCTAAGTGCATTGTGTGCCATTGAAAATTAATTCAATTTAAAAAAATCTTAATTAATTTAATTCAAAAATTTTAAATGAATTCAACTGAAATATTGAAAATTATTCAATGTAAAAATTCAAAATGATTCAAATTTAAAGATTCGAAATTAATTTAGTTGAAAAATTCAACATGGATGCCCCCCGCATTGCAACAGCAGCACATCATATGTAACATGTATTATAACAATGCGATAGTCTACCGGTCCCTAAAATAAGGATAAGGGTCTTTAATTTCAGTCATGTGACTGCCATAATTAGATCTCATTGGCTCTCAGCTGAGAATTATAAATAAAAATAAAGACTGGTATCCTTGTGTGTTGGCTTTGTGAATAGAGAATGTTGTATCTAGGGATGGCGTGAATTATGTGGCAGGTCTATGTGGCATGTTGGTTTACACAAAGCCGATCGGCCGCTGACTTATTGCAGACCTCACGACTCCCACGATTGTGTCCTAAACCTAGACATCGCCCTTCCCAGTAAAATCTTGAGAATAACTAAGTGAGTTTACACGGGGCAATTGTAAGACAATTTCAGTCATTGTTAATCACAAAGATAACGGAACTGGTCAAGGAAACCGACCCGAAAAATTCAATGTTTTTTTGGTTTTGGTAAAATCTGTTGGCGGCTGTATCGATCCTTCCTATTTTTGGTAATGGAAAGCTGGAGAAAGCCGACCAAAAATTGTCAAGTATATGACCAGCATAAGACTAATCCTAAACCTAACCTCTCCCCAAATCTATAATCATAAACGACCCCTAATCTTAACCAACCCCTAATCAAAACCGACCCCTAATCATAACCATCTCCTAATAATAACCAACCCTTAATCATAACCGACCCCTAATCTTACCCGACCCCTAATCATAACCAACCGCTAATTATAACTGACCCCTAATTCTAACCGACCCCTAATTCTAACCGACCCCTATTCTTAACCGACCCCTAATCATAACCAACCCCTTATTCTAACCGTCCTCTAATCATAACCGACCCTTAATCTTAATCAACCCCTAATTCTAACTGATCCCTAATCTTAACGGACCCCTAATCATAACCAACCCCTAATCATAAACAACCCTTAGGCCCCGTTCACATATAGCGAATTGTCGCGCGATTTCCGCCGCGATATCGCGCATTTTTGCCGTGCGATATCGCGAGAAGTCTCCGGCCAATGTTATTCAATGGAGCTGTCTTAACTCCATGTCGCGCGTCGCGCGTCGCGCGTCGCTCGTCGCGGTCGCAAGTCGCTTCTACCGGACCCTTTTTTCTGCGGATTTTGCGCGATTTTGCTTTTTTTCTATGGAGCCCGACGGGGAAGGTCGCGCTACCGTCGCTGGATCGTCGCTGGAACGTCGCCCCGAAAGTCG